GCTTTTCTGCAAGAGAATATGGCTGGAGTGGGGGGAGGGGCTTGAGGGTGGAAGTGGTGGGAGCTGGGCTGGCCGACACCTTACCTGTCTCCAGGTACCAGAGGTCCTTGCAGCAGACCTGGTTGTTCCAGGCCTTGCGATAGCCGTCACGCCCACTCCAAATGTACAGGCGTGTATTGATGGCAACAGCACAGTGGCCGGCTCGAGCCCGAGGGATGTTGTCCTCTAGAGTGTCCATGAGGATGGTCTCCCACGCCATGGTGTCTAGGGCAAGCAGGCAGAGAAGTCAGCAGAGAGGGCAGAGGAAGACCACCACCCAGCGCCCTGTCCTTTTGTTGTCGGGGTGGGGAACTGATACCAGAGAGTTATCCAAGATCACCAAGTTGAAAACAACAAAAACGAAATGAACAAAAATTGCCTGCTTATTGCAAGAAACACCAGGAATGACAATTATTTTAAGCCAGAAACGACAAACTGGGAAAAGTATTTGAAATGTACAGCCAAAGTTTAACTCCCTACATATCAAATAATACAACAACCCACGCAAGGAGATGTGCAGAGGGGTACATGTTTGTGGAATACACGATGGAATTTAAAACCTATACCCTCACTTAAAGGAAGAACAACACACATCAGAACCACAGTGTCCGGCAGTTTGATTTCTATGCCCACTGCGCCAGGGGCTTGAGGTGAATTGGGGCAGGGGCTGGCAGAGGGTGGGCTGAGTGTGCAGCTAAGGTCAGGGTCCCAGAACGCGGGTGCCCCAGGGCTGGGGGCATCTATGCTGCTAGAGCCTCTGTGCAGGGCAGTTCAGCAACACCTGACAGCAACTCCACATCTAAGCCTTGACCCTTTGAACACACTTGCACTTGGCCAAACATGGTACCAGGACACTCAGAGCAATGTCAAGGCCCAAGGAGGTGGGACTGCTCACTAACAGCCACAATGCTATTACTGATAGGACTTGTGTACACCTGTGTGCAGTGGGCTCCTGTTCCATATTTTTAAAAGAATTGTTTACTTATTTATAATTTATTATTTTTTAACCCAGAGAGAGACAGAGAGAGGGAAAGCAAGAAAGCAAGCCGCCAGGTCCAGGACTTGAACCATGGTCGGCCATATGGGAGTACAACGCTGTAAACACCACGCCACCTGCTGGCGCCTCCTGTTCCTTTATAAAGGAACCCACAGCTAATGCTTGTATATGAAGAGTCCCTGCAGTGGGTACAAGAACCAGCCCCATGGCTGCCCCTGAGGAGAACTGGGAGGAGGCTCCGCACTGGATGTGCCTGCCGGACCACGTGTATGAAGAGCCTGTTCGGAAACGTAAAAGGGAGAGCATCGCTTCCGAGTGCTCCATCCACCAGGTACTTCTGGTGTGGACTCTGGAGGGAGCTGCGGGCCCAGCCTCGCTCTCTGCACACCCCGCACAGCTCCCAGGACCGAGGAGGGTCAGCTTCCGCAGGCCACTCTGAGCCCGGGGAGGCCATACCCAGGTTGAGGCAAGCCAGCGTGTTGGTACACTTCCACTCCTTCTCGTGTGTGGCCACTTTGACGTCATCCATGACGAGAGGCACCCAGCCACCAAACACGTACATTCTGGGAGGGTGGGGGAAGGGTAGGAGAGGATTGTAGAGGAGGCGCCAAGCTCAAGGCTTGGCCTCTTCTACTCAGAAAGTTCTAAATGTGCTTGGGCCCTAGCTCTCCCCAGGAGAGTCCCCCCAGGGTACATAAAGTCGCCTGCAGTGGCCCTCTCCTATCTGGTGGCTCAGTCCTCACAAGAACTGTGTCACCTCTATTTACCACCTGAAACTACTGTCAGCTCACCTAAACCTCATTTTAATTGCAATCATTCCCAGATTCCCTTCAGTGCCCTGGCACTCACAAAGACCACCCCCTCACCTCCAGCTGCGTGTGTAAAGATCTAGAACAGTCTGAATCCTTGCTGGGGCAGTCTCTCCCAGGGCCAGGAAGATCTCAAAATGGACTTGTGTGTGCACCCTCCACCCTGAATCTGCCAACTCTAGGACTCCCAGGGTTGTACTGGAAAAGCAGGGCTGCAGATCGCCAGCCCGGCTGGAAACAGGCAGCCTTGGTCTTCAGGATCAGAGCAAAACTGACTTTAAGAGCCCTCTGGGGGCCAGGCTGGGGGCACAGCCAGAGCCAGAACCAGAGCCAGGTTAGAGAAAAGCAGACAAACAGCCACTCACTTGTTTCCTATAGTAGTTGCCGAGTGAAGACTGCGAGGAAGAGGCGCCACCCCACTGAGACTGGGCTTATTCCACGTCAGAGTATCTGTGCAGAGATAGAGAGGCGGGAGGGTCACTCGCACAAACAGTTCCAGGCTCCAAGCTGTCCTCCCTACAGCCCACAGCAGGCCTGTTGGCTGGTGTCCTAGTGGCCAGATCACTCCAAGACCGGGCAGTTTGGAACCTTCCAGCCATAGTATTTCTTTGCTTATAGGCCAACCACCTACTCTGAGCCGCCACTACCACATTCTTGGTACTGGGCAGCAGTAGTGTGCTCACCTGCCAGCACAGAGCTCTCCTCCCTCTTCACTGTGAATCCCTCGCCCTGTACCAACCACCCTGCTGGCCTCCAGACCAAGTTCAGAGAAAATACAGGGAAAAGTTTCCACATACTGAACCATCTTTCTGGAGAACCAGGTATGCTCTGGGGGACAACATAAGAGAAGCCTGCTCATTCCCTGACACTCCTCCAGAGGTGTGCAGTTAGCCATCTCTCCAGCTACTCCCCATACCAGTGGCTGGTCACCCAACAGGTATCAACATCCAATGTGGGCACGCCACCTACTCCATATCTAACCACTGACAAGAAAACAGGGTCTAATGCTGCCCATATGGAAAGAACCCCACGCCAGGAAGGCCTTACTCTCTGCCTTTTCCTCTCGTGACTAGCAGACCAACTCAGCTTGCTGTGCCCAGCTCTTTCTTAAAGGCAAAACCACTGGCTCCAAACCTAGGGATGATTGAGGGTCCTACTCCCACCCCGTTGTAATAGGAAAAACCTCAGTGGGACACCAAGGTTCCCCAGGAGGCCAGCTGAGTTGCCTTGTTCCAAGATTTCGTACCAATGTCAAGGGTCCACAGGTCCCCCAGCCTGCAGCCACTCATCCCTCCGTATATCACCAGCTTGGATTTCTTGTTGTCTTTTTCGGTATAGACCACTGCAGTATGTGACTCACGGGGTGGGGGCAGGACCCCGTAAGTGATGGGGATGTCCCAGGCTACTACTCCAGAGCCTGGTCGTAATTCCAGGATGTACAAGTCGTTCAGGTACCTGAAGAAGACAGTACGAGATCAGTTCCAGCAAGCCTTGACTCCATGCCCAGAGGCCTCGCTGGGTATCTCTCAGGGAACAGCCAACTTCCTGGAACTGTGTGAGCTCCTAGTTCTCCTTCTACCTTTGCCCTAGAGGAGGGGCTGGCTGTTGGAGGGGAATCCAAAGGAGCAGGGGGATGGGCTGTATGAGGCCCCTCTGGGATGCCGGGCACACAAAGCTGGGCATTATATGAAGGCTGTCCTACAGCAAGAGGGGGCATCAGTCTGGGACTACCTCCAGACATGCCCTTCCTTGGCCAGGGACCTTGAAAAATATCCACTGGGAAACGTGTAGACAGCGGGAATCAAGAAAGAAAGCAAACAGCTCTAAAGAACTGAGGAGCAGGGGCCAGTCCAAGGCAAATGGAGATCCCCGGCCCCCAGCCCAGCCCTCCTCCAATGACGCCTACGCAGGGTTGGTGACTCAGAGCCTGTGGGCTCCTCCAGTGCCCCTCTCTCATTTTTCAACCCAGACCAGGAAAGGGCCTCGGCAGTAGTGGGGCTACCTCACATGTAGGCTTTAGGACCCCAATGAGCCCAGTGAGTGCCCAGGGTGGGAGGGGTTTCTATAGAAAAAAGGACCAGACTCACCTCGGAATGTTGTTCTTGGGGTCCTCGCTGTCATTGGCCAGTCCCCCAAACAGGTAGCATTTGTTACCCACAAGGGAAAAGCTGTGGCCGAGACGAGGACATGGAGGGGGCCCATTTTTGGGTGTCTTTGCTTTGAGTCTCTTCCACTCCCACCGGCTTGCCTGCAAACCAAGACTTGGGGCTTGAATCCTCACCCAGGGGCCAGACAATTGTGATGCAGGGAGGGGATGTTTGTGGGGAAGGCAGGAGCCTCGCTGGAGCAGACAGGGCCCTGCCTTTT